GTACCTGATTAAACGTGCACTGCTTTGGGGTGTCCTGAGGCCATGAAGATGCTATACAAATGCAGTTCTTCCTCTCCATTTCATCGCTTTTTGTGGGATCTTGCTGTGTGTGTATTGACAGATCTCTAGAATGAGTGAAGTATCTAATACACTTCACATCATTGTAATATTAAGTAATTTGAGAGCTTTCTCAGTGGTATGATCAGGTACTATATAAACACAAGTCTTTGTTTAGTTATTGAAGAAAGTAAAGTCATCAAATTTCTCTTTAAATTCATTTTCAGGGTAAGACAAGCTAGGTATCTGTTACTTGCCTTAATTACCCTGAGAAAATGGCATTGGACTCCTTGAACCACCAGCAGCTTGAATACAACAGTTAAGTAGGGGAGGCATAAATAGGCCAAATTAGGAGAGGGCATTAATGAAAACGTCCTTTCATGGTCAACAGACATTTCAAAACATGTGAAATTTTATCAGTGTTGAAATGTAGGAAATGCAGCAGCAAATTTGTACACAGTAAGCTCTTACAAACAGCAATGAATTAATGACCTGATAATCTTTTTTTGCATTATTGGTTCAAAAATAAATACTGGCAAGTACAACTTCTTCAAAATAGCGTAATGTGATCTTTTATGTCCACCTGAGAAAGTGATGAGGCTCTGATTTAATGTCTGATCTAAAGCACAGCATCCTTACAGTACGGCACTTTTTCAGTAATACACGGGTGTCAGCTTGATATCTGTGTTCAAGTCAACTCAGAAATTCTAGATTACTAGTCCAGTAGCATAACCATTCACTCCAGGTGGAAGCAGTCAACTTGACCCAAAGGGACCCAGGTTATTTACTTTAATCAAGGTATTTCTGACAGCTGTTTCTCTTTCATTTCTTCACAAGATTAGTGACGTTTATTTTCCTTCTCTATAAATTTCTATACACAACTTTGAAGTAATATCTGACTCACTGAAAATATAGAATGATAAGAGAGTGAAAGGGAATTTCGCTTTAACTCTTGTAATGGTGTTAGATCAGCATCAAAGTATGGGAAGAAAGAAAAATGGTGGCACGGTGGCACAGTGGTTAGCACTGCTGCCTCACAGCATCAGGGACCAAGGTTTGATTCTAGCCTCGGGTGTCTGTCTGTGTGGAGTTTGCGCATTCTCCCTGTGTCTGCGTGGGTTTCCTCTGGGTGCTCCGGTTTCCTCCCACAGTCCAAAGATGTGCAGGTTAGGTGGATTGGCCATGCTAAATTGCCCATAGTGTTCAGGGTGGGTTATAAGGGGATGGGTCTGGGTGGGATGCACTGAGGTTTGGTGTGGACTTGTTGGGCTGAAGGGCCTGTTTCCACACTGTAGGGATTCTAAACCAGAGTATTTTCTCTCCGGTTACAATCATTGAACTTTGGAGTTGTCAAGAGATTTAAAGGGACCAAGTAGTGAAGTCACTAAAAGATTTGGTGCAAATCTAGTTTAAAATGCTAATAAAATGCTTACCTTAATTCCAATTGGGCTGGAATATAAAGTATTGGAAGTTCAATATGTTTTCAAAAAACTCTGATTAGATCCTATTTATAGTAATGTGTTCAGATGTGAGTGCCACACTTCAGTAAGAACATACTGGCCTTGGAAAGGTTGCACTGCTGATTCACCAGAACAATCAATGGGCTTCAAAGGGTTAGATTATGTGGATAAGTCACATAGGCAAAAGTTGTAAATATTTGTAATCAATCTGTTTAGACACATCAGGAGCAGGTGGGACTTGAACCTAGGCCTTCTAGCTCAAGGGTAGGGACTCTACCACTACACCACTATAGCTCTAAGATAAAGGGTGGTTTCCCTTGAGTTTATAGATTAAAGGGAGGGTTAACTGAAATGCTTAAGACCGAGTTAAGACATTGATCAGCTATGATCTAATTCAATGGCAGAACAGGCTTGAAGGATTGAAAGGATTCTTCTGTTTTTAAGCACTGCATCCAAATCTCTGAAACTTTTCAGAATGCCAATTGCCATGACATCTTTGATGTTCATTGTGACAAGAAGCCTATTCCTTTATGTAACAATTTTATGTTGAGAATGCACATGAGTCCAGGATTGTAAGAGGACATTTCAATACATCACCTAGCTCTTTTGCTAACATTTCTGTCCTAGGCCTGCTCCAGTGATCTCGCAAAGCCCAATGCGAGCTGGAAGAACCAGTACCTCATTTTCCACTTAGGCAATTAGAGTCATAGAGTCACAGAGCTGGACAGCATAGAATCAAACTCTTCATTCCAACTTGTCCATGCCAAATAGATATCCTAAATTAATCTAGTCTCATTTGCTAGCATTTGGCCCAAATCCCTCTAAACCCTTCCTATTTATATACCCATCCAGATGCCTTTTAAATGTTGTAATTGTACCAGCCTCCACCACTTCCTCTGGCAGCTCATTCCATACATGCACCACCCTCTGTGTGAAAAAGTTGCCCCTTAGGTCCCTTTTAAATCTTTCTCCTCTCACCTTAAACCTATGCCCCTCTAGTTTTGGGCTCCACTACCCTGGGTAACTTTACAGTCTTCAGGAATTAACATTGAGTTCAACAACTACAGACCATGAACTCTGTCCTCCATTTTGATAAACCCACTAATCTACACCCATCCCAACCTCACCCCTGTGTTTTCCCCGCACCGGTTTGTTATTAGTAGAGGTGTTTTATTTTCTGCTATTAACACCTAACATTAACACCCGTTCTTCATCTATATCTCTTCTCAACTATGAATAACCATCCTTACGCTTTTTGCTGTGACCCTTTTTCTATCTGTTCCTTTTGCTCCTTCTCCTCTTCTTTTTTCCAGAGCAGAAAAGTGATCATTTCTCCAGACTTCTTCAGTTTTGAAAAAGAATCATATTGGCGTTGAAACATTGACTCGTTTTCTCTGTCTACGGACAATGCCTGACCTGATGAATTACTCTAGCACTTGCTGTTTTTATTTTAGATTTCCAGCATCCACAATACTTTGCTTTTATTATAGGTGGCCTCATTTTATAAACTTTGAGTCCAGTTTGGTTGAACTCCACTTGTTTTTGGCATCCAGTAGTTGCAACTTCTCATGCTATGGCTACCTTTAGACACATCGCCCAGAGAATTAACACAAAATCCAGGCTAACACTCTATTCAATACTGAATGAACACTGCACTATTAGAAATGCAGGTGAGAGGTTAAACTGTGTCCAGTGGTATTATTCTTATGAAAAGCAGAGAATTTTTGGCTAATGTTTATTCTGCAAATAATATTTGCTAAAACAGACTATATGGTTATTATTTCATTAGTTATAAAGTAGCTTGGGATGTCTTCAGATTCCTGGAATTCACTCCCTAAGGGCATTGTGAGCCAACCTACAGCATGTGGACTGCAGCGGTTCAACAGGGCAACTCACCATCACCTCTTCAAGGGCAACTAGGGATGAGCAATAAATGCTGGCTCAGCCAATGACGCCCATATCTTACAAGTGAACAAAAAAGAGATTGTGAAAGGCGCTACAGAAGCATAGGTTTATCTTTTCAGATAACAGGAAGGATGGTTGAATAAACTCTGTCTCTAAATGTGAAAACATTGCTGGAGGTTTCTCATGCCTCAAGCAAGTGTTTTATAACCCAATTTATAAAAGATAAGTATAAAGTTTTTTTTAAAAGAATGAATGCAGGTGCTGTGAAGGATTGATGCATCTACACGCTGAGACATGGAGTGTTGGGGCTTGTACATGCAATTCGCAACATGCAGATTTCTCAGTCTTACTTGGCTCTTTATGGGCAGAGGTCGAAAATAATACATTTCCAGGAACTAAAAAGGGACATTTATCCCCTTCACTAAAGCTAATTTCTATACCTCCCACCTCTTTAAAAACATCAAGCACTTGATTTTAAGCACACACAATATTTTAAAAAATATTTAAAACAAAAAGCTCTGCAATGATTCAAGCTGGGCGGACTTTCATATTTATGAGTACTGAGTGCCAGGGGAAGATCAGATTGTGATTTTGATGGGTAACAGGTATCGCATATTTCCCTTCTTTTCTCAGGGTTGCAATTTGTTGCCGGAGTTTGATTTCACAGGCACCACCAAACATCCTTACCTAAGTGTCTGTTTCTGGCAGACTGTTTCAGCGTGGGAGTGGGTGTGCAGGGCAGTCCAACCTGACATCCACACAAGCTCAATTAATTGCAGGAATTGGTTATAGATCTGGAGCAGGGTCCATGACCAATTGTCTCCTTTTCCAAATCCTGGGGCACTGAGACTAATTATATGGATCTGAAACCTTCGTAGATCATTAAACTTAGCATCACTGAGGCAGATGCATTTACTAACAGGCTTGGATATTGCAGTAAGTAGAATCCTCAAAGCAGGGATCTTCTGACTGGATCTTATAACCAAGTACTCAAAGTGCAGCCCCATTCTTGAACCAAGACACCACCTCATTACCAGTGCCATTAGTGAGGCTGGACACCAAAAAGACGAATGGAGAGGCCAAGCCGAGATCAGATCGAATCCCCTTTTCACTCACTTCTCACTTGACTAAAAGACAAGCTTATGAATCAGACTGGCTCAGTTCCAGCACCAATGCCTCTGAGTCGGAAGATCATAGATGATGCCTTTGGGGCAAGATGTTAAACCGAGGCCTCCACTTTTGAAGAGTAGGGAGTTGACATTCAAAGAATAATTCATGATCGGTGAGTTGATGTGAACTGAGCCAAATTCTTGGTTGATGTGTTGTGTTGGCAAGCGGATAAACTTAACTGATTTGAGACGTGCGTGGGAATAAGAAAAAGACGGAACTGTAAAATGATTAGACTCAAATGCCGGGCTGCACATGGAAGAGTGAGTGTTTTTGTAACAACCATCCGGACGGGAATAGCAACTCGAACAAATCGCTGGGCAGGGTTTACAGACAATGGGAGGCAGGGTTGGGGCCGAAGTGGGTGGGGTTGTTCGTTTTCCACGTGGGTCGACTGGTTCCAAACAGTCCCGTTAAAAGTGGCAGCGATCATCCTTCGTGAGAGCTGCGAAGGTGGGCGGTCAAAAGCCACAGGCATCACGGACTGAGAGAACAGCTTCAGTCGGGCAACCAGCATTCCGAGAGAGAAAGATAATTCAGGTCTATATACTCCAGTGACGGGCGGCGATTTATTACTTCATACAAGTGACAGCGAAATTTCACACCGAAACCGACAAGGCGACAAGCCTTTTGTTTTGACGTGGAAACGGACACTTTCTGAAAAGCCTTTTCCGGAACCTCTCTCCCTTTCCATCCGCACTGTGCTACGGGATGTCGCCTCTCTCTCTCATCCTTTTGACCATTGAGCTTTTCGGCTTCTCTGCAACTTCCAAACCTCATCGGTTCGACAGGACTCTGGTAAGCAGCAGACTCCAAATTGGGAGAGTGCCTTTCCCAACTTTCCCAGATTCCTCTAGATAACTCATTCCTTTTTGATATAGTTATAACTATTTAAAATCAGTTTCAAGGCAAATTTCCTCCCAATATAGTCAGGCAGAACTTGCATTTATACAAGCAGTTACAACGCCGCAACACTGTCCCAAATGCAATGAACTAACTGAAGCACTACTATGCTTCATTTACTTTGTAGGGAAACACACATAAGTCCTTCATATTGGACTCATTATTACATTTGGGGGGATTCTATACCGTATAAGTGTTGGGAATAAGAAGAATTGAAAACAATTTGAACCTATGTTTCACAAAGTTAAAGGGATGGGTAAAATAAAGTAAGCGGAATTATTTAATAGTATTCCATTTCTATATTGACCTGCGTTTAGGGAATTTTTTGAAATCCAGAGTTCAGATATTTTGTGTTCAGCTGTAGTGTTCCACACATGCACATTGTGGAGTTTTGGCTGGAGAGCGTGTAATCTGTTGCTGTAACTGTGTAAAAAGTTGTTCCTGTGGCTCCGTTCGTTCAGTGCGGGGCGAGTCCGAACAGGCTGTGATCGGCAGCGTGACAGCAGGGAAACCTCTTGGATGACGAGCAACGCAAACCCCTTTCCTGCTGTCTCTCTGTGCACAATTACGGGGCGAATTTCATTAAAACTGCTCTAAATTGAATAAGAAAGGAAATTTTGCCTACTTCGCGAACGATTTGTTCTCCTTTTAATAAACTCGTCACGCAGCAATAGGTTTAGACAATTTCATAAATTTCCATCAGTACACAGAGCACGATTGTGAGGGAACAAGGTGCAGGGCTGG